CGCTTACCCACAGGGAAATGGACAAGTGGAGAATGCTAACCGGACGATATTGGAAGGTCTGAAAAAGAAGTTACACTCGGCCGGTCGTAGTTGGGCCGATGAGTTGCCATATGTTTTGTGGACTTATCGGACGACCCCGAGGGAAGCTACTTTGGAGACCCCTTTCGCCCTGGTTTACGGAGCTGAGGCCCGACTTCCGATCGAGGCCTGGATTCCGACCGATCGAGAGAGAACCTATAACGCGGAAGAGAACGAACACGCGATGGCCGTGGACCTTGATGGGGTCGAGGAAAAACGAGAGCTAGCCGCTCGGCGTATGGCCGAGTACCAGAAACATGTCAAGAGTTCGAAAGACGTTCGGGTCAACCCTCGCTATTTTCAAGTCGGAGATTACGTTCTACGACGAAGGGAGGCCAGTCAGCCTTTAGAGGGCGGAAAGCTAGCTCAGAACTGGGAAGGGCCGTACATCATCAACGCTGTCATACGGCCGGGTACATACCGACTAGAGACAACAGCTGGTCGGCTAATCGAGGGGACTTGGAATTCCGAGCACCTCGTTCTTTTTAGGCATTAGCCTATTTTTTGTATTTTCTAGACGAAGTGGGGGCTTAACCTGCGAGTTAGTCCCGGTCGTCATTTCTATGTAAATTTATGGTTGTAAAATTAATTCAACCGCCTGCGAGCGGGAAAGTTTAATGTATGTACGATCAATGATTGCTCGACCGTTTGAATACGGCGATCGGTTATTTTCTTTCACCCTCGTTACATGCAGATCAGTTTAACATTCATCAACCGGGCGAAATCTATCGACCGGTCAAAACGCGCTCCACATTGGCGGACACCCAAGTCATGCCACTGATCGGGGAAGCCAGGAACTCTCAGCATTATTCCCCGATCCGTCCAACTTCTGTCCACTATTGCACCCACTCGTGCCTCGAGCGCACAATAGTGTGGGGGCTGGGATAAGGAAGTATTTGCAGGCCCGTCGCTCGGTTACATTCCGACCGTAGAGGCGTTTTGCAGGCCCGTCGCTCGGTTACATTCCGACCGTAGAGGCGTTTTTCAAAAAAATATATATTTTTTTCGACAAAGGCCCGGAGATCGGGTAAACCCGATCGGTTGGCCAGATTTGACGTCGAAATATCGAACGCACGACCAGGCCATAAGGTCGTAAGGTCGGGCGTTAAGCGGATCGAGTATTGCGAGACCGGGTCTAAAGGCCAGGGGGTCGAGTGATTGAGATCAGTGTGTGCAAATTGAAAGCAAGGAAACAAGAGACGAGCGACGCAAGATAGAACAAAAAATAAATTTTATTAATTAACGAAAGCTGCCCGGTACAACTCGGGACCGGGCTCCCGATCAATGGCCCTTTACAAAAAGTAGAAGAAGAAAGGAGCCTATTCTACTTCTTCGTCTCCCGAGCTCCGGCAGCCGGTTCCTTTCCGCTTGAGGTGGCCGCCGTTGATGCCCCGGCTTCAGACGCCTTGGCTTTTGGGGCGAAGGGAGAGGGACCGGGATCGGCTAGGTCCGGGGGTAATACCGAGAGGACCAGCTGAAGGTCTTCCCCGTCTAGAGCCTGCTCCAACCGGGAACGGACTCGTTCAAGCATCTTCCGTTTCCCGGCCGTAAAGCCCCAGCGACCGAACGAGACGATCAGCTCTTCCCCGATCTCTGTTCCCCGGGCTGCTGTAAGGAAGGCCGAGCCCGAGTCCTTGTCTTTGAAGGCTGCCCGCGCCAGCTCGCTCGGATTCTCGAGCTGAGCCTTTAGCTCCTTGGCCTCTCCAATCGCCCGACTGGCGACCTTCTCGGCGAGGACCCGCTCCTCGTCGCCCTTCTTCAGGGCCTTTTGCGCCTTCTCCAGCTCGGCCTGGAGCTCCTTGATCTCCTTCAGACGACGAGCGGCCGTCTTCTTATGATGATCAGCTTCCTCGGCCAGCATAGCCTGACCTTGAAGGAGTTGGGTCGCCCGGGAGATCTGCAGTACAAAAGGATATCCAGGGTTAGCCCGATCAAAGTACATTAGCAAGAAAGCTGTTAGTTGAGGAAAGCTCACCTCAGCCAGGTCGTGACCGATCCGTTCAGCCACCTGGGTCGGGGTCATCTTCCCCAGATCCACTCGGGCTGGCGCGGCGTTGCCGATCCGTGCCAGCACGGACGTAGACTCCCTCTCTCGCCCGACCGAAGGGCTCGGGCTGTGTTGGTCACGGCGGCGCTTCAAGCTGCCCACCTCGGTCGCGCCCTGGTCGGCGACCTTCTCCTTGCCCCGGGCGACCTCTACCCGGGTAACCAGGACGTCAGGCTGCTCAACGATGAAGCCCTCGCCCGTCGTCACGGTCGAGGCGCTCAGGGGTCGGGCAGTGGGAATCTCCTTTTCCCCGGCCGCTTTGGTCTTGGCCTTCTTCTTCCCGCCGAGGGAGATCTTGGCGGGCGGGGGAAGGGCGGTGTCTTCATCACCAAATTCTGCCATGGCTGCAATAAAAAGAGCTAAGTTAGTTTGATCAAGAAATGAAGCTAGGTCGGGAGGAACAGCTCGAGCTAAACCTTTCTTCTTCCGTTTCGACGGCTTGGCGACCGTCACGCCCATCGGTACGGGAAGGTACTTCTCCTTTAGCTCGTACGTGGGGGGCGGGAGCTTGGCGGCTGCGAGACTCTCGGCTGTCCGGAAGATGGAGTACTCGTGTATTTCACTCGAGATCCGAGTGACCGTCTCCTTGAGCGCCTGAGTCGCGGCCGGCACCACTTGCTTTCTGAAGTGGCTGCTCCAAGTGCGATCGACCGGGAGGATCCAGGGGTCGTATTTGATGGAGAAAATTCTGTTCTTCCACCCCTTGTTGTTCCCGGGCAGGCCTTTGATGGAGCACATATCTGCTCGGGATTGCAGCATCAGGAACCCACCCCCGTAGCGGCCCGGGAGAACCTTGATCTGGTAGATGAAGTTGAACAACTCCATCGTGCACTCGGCCTCGTGCCGAGTGCATATCTGCGGGAAGCAGGCGAGGATCCGATGTGCGTTCGGGCAGATTTGAGCCGGAACGACCCGGTAGTACGCTAGAAAGGCCGTCAAGAGGGCCGAGAAGGGAATGGCAATCGGGGCCATTAGGGAGTCGTAATGCATCCCGATCCACTTGCCCCGATGCCTGTCAATCACGTTCCCCAGCTGCCGGCTCGTGTCGAATTCAACCCGACCCCGGAGTACTTCAGCAATCCGAGCCGCTTCGCCTTTGGTCAACACGCTCATTTCTTACTCGACACTCTCGCTGTTCAAGAATTCGAGCTCGACGGCTGGTGTGGCCGGCCCGGCCGGGTCTTCTTCGGTCTGCTCGGGGGTATTTTCCCGATCCCCCCCTCGAGGAGCAGCTTCCGGGTAGTCCCCAACCACCCGGGTAGGCGTTTCCCTAACGCCCTCGGTCGGAGAACCCCGCCCGCTTGACGTGGTTCTCTCTTCCTCTTCTTCGCTGGAGCTCCCCGATCCGCTGGAGCTAGAGCTCGACGTCCCGGAGGAGCTTGATGCGTTGTTATGCTTGACGGCTCGCTCAGGGGCTGGCGTTGCTCGGGGGCTGGCTTCAGGAGTGCAGGACATAATGTCCACTTCCTCGTCGCTGATGTACTCGACCTCCTCGTCATAGTCCGCGATCGAGGCGTTTTGACTATCCGAGTCCGACATAATTCTACCTAAAGGTCGGTCGGGAATTAGTACAGGGTTCGGGGAGTTAGCTCGAAGTTAGTGCTATCCTAATTCTACGCTAAGTGAAGAGTAAACAAAGAGTAAAGAACTAAGAGCTTACCGGGTGAGGAAACTTTAAAGAAGATCTGAAGTTTTGCTTTGCTTGATCGCCTTGCTGAGATGCTCTGCTCGGGATTCTTAGAGGATACCGACTGAAGCAAAAGAGTGAGGAAAGTTCAAATGAGGGCCTCAAGGGCCTATTTATAGGAGGGCATTTAGGCGGGAAATGGGCCAACTTGCCTGACACGACCCGCGCTGAATCCGAGGCGACGGATGGGATCGCCGAGGCCGGTAGAGGCCGACACGTGGCATAGGAGGGAATGACAGCTGGCAGGTCGGCTTGATGGCCGACGGTTGGGCTTCTTCATCCCGTCCCGTTTTTTCCCGACTGATCAAAAAGGCCCGGGCTGGGGGGCTCTTGGTAGGGAATATCCCGACCGACATAGCTTCACCACGACCGAGAAACCTTTGTCCTTTTTCTCCTTGTCTTTGCAGGTAACAGGTCGGGCTCCACGAGAAGAACTCGGTCGTAGACCGACCGGGAGTTGCCCGAGCGACGGTGTCGACCACCGAGCGGTAGCCCTTTGGCGAAAGAGCTGACGACGGACACGTGGCGGCTCTTTACATCGACAGGCAGGGCACCTGGGAGGATGACACGTGGTGGCTACGTGGAGGACATGCCGAACGACTGGAATCCTGTCCCCGGCATAGCGGCTATAAATACCCACAGTAGCTACAGTGTGAGGGACTTTTGGACGATCGATAGGTTGTTGTTAGAGAATCCCGACCGCACTCAGTCGGTACTCAGAGCAGCCAAGTAGATTGTACTTAGGGCCTTTACCGTGATCAATAAAGATTTTACTTGCTTTAATTGGTCTCGTGATATTTTATATTGCTTACGTAGAATTAGCAGTATCATACATAAATATACTAAATTATATTTTTTGGAAACGGGGGGGATGGGGTTAACCCAAACAAAAAACAAAGCAGCAACTAAGTGTCAAACAAAACGAAACGCTACATACAAAAACTTATAAATAAAGTGCTTAGATGGTTAAGCATTTATGTGTTATAGTAGAGGTCAAGATGTCGAATTTCCTTATTCTTGATTAATATACTAAATTATATTAGAATCAATGTTAAGTTTCTAATGAGTATATAATCATGTGAAATAATAAGTTATACGGAATATTTTTTACTCCAATCTTTTACTCCGTCTTACAAATCCTTGATGTAGATGAAAATAGCCTGGAGTAAAAGTGAAGATAAAGTAATTAGTTTTCTGATCTTGCCCAAAACCTGTTACTCAAAAACTTCTCTCCCAATCCCAATGGCCCCTCACATCCCGGGCCGAGCATTTAGGAGGATGTAAATCACGGTGACTCAATGACTCAATAAATAGAACCAAATGCTGGTGCACACAAGGAATTTGCGGGCATAATTCTCACACTTTCGCTGCCGAGGTTCAAACCTAAGCGGACAAGTAATTAGTTTCCTGCTTAGTATTCAATGGCAATATCAGCATCATACAACTTAGTCTTGGCTGTGATTTCATCAAGTAGTGCATATATCTGAGTAGATTTTGGGTGTGACTTATCTTCAACAATAAACTTGTGAACTTGCCCTCCTTCCTCAATGAAGCTATAGCCTGCTGCCTTTGTGATCTGTGATCCCTTCATCACCTTCCTCAGCCGTGCAACGCCATCCCACCTCCCCGCCCTCGCGTATATATTCGACAGAATCACATAGTTTCCTGGATTCCATGGCTCCAATTCAAACAAGAACTCTGCTGCTTTCTCGCCCAGTTCAATGTTGCAGTGGAAACTGCACCCTCCCAACAGGCTCCCCCAAATCACGGGATCAGCTCTCATTGGCATGCTTTGTATCAGATCATAAGCTTCTTGCAGTTGCCCTGCGCGCCCTAGAAGATCAACCATGCATCCGTAATGCTCCAGTTTTGGAGCTATGGAGAATTCTTGTTCCATGGAGTTGAAGAGCTCCCGGCCTCTTGCAACCATGCCTCCATGTGTGCATGCCAAGATTGCTCCCACCAATGTAACATCGTCTGGCGAAATCCCTTCTCCCTGAGTATCAAGACAGTGAATTCGTGTTAGGATCAAACGCTTACCACTACGCCAAAAGTTATATATACTGTGAAGGCGCAACTGTCACCACATTTTCGAGAGGAAGGTGCTGGACTTGGCATTGACTGGCCTCCAACAATCCCCTAACCACCAATTGCTGGACCAACAATTCCCTAGCCAAACCAGCTTGGTTGGCGTGAGTGACCGTGCACTCTTGTCCCTTAAGAGAGGTTGGGAGTTCAAACCCCCTCTCGTATAGAAAAACCAATCTGGCCGACAAAGTGCCCCTTAATTAGGTTGGCCTGGTGCAAAGAGGGATTAGTGTGAGTATGGTACGGACTTAAATGTGCCTCCTACAGTTAGGGTCTGCTCAATACACCTCGTGGTATGACAAAAAAGAACAATTTCCTAACCATCAATTGCTTATTTGACTCTTTACCGGCCTCCACCCAACAACCCTCTAACCACCTATTGTTGGACCAACAATCCCCTAGCCACAATTGCTAAACTATTGGCCTCTGCCCAATAATCCACTAACCTCCAATTATTGGACTTGGCCCTTTACCGAGCCTCCGCCCAACAATCCCCTAATCACTAATTGCTGGCCCTTTACCGAGCCTCCGCCCAACAATCCCCTAATCACTAATTGCTGGCCCTTTACCGAGCCTCCGCCCAACAATCCCCTAATCACTAATTGTTGGGTTTAGCCTTTTATCGGACTCGGCCCAACAATTTGTTTTAAAAATTTTGTGGTCATTCCTACCATGGAATAGAATATAGCTAATATACAAGAGAACTAACCAGCATTTGGTGGAAGAGATCCAGTGCTTCATTGCTTTTCCCATGGACAGCTAAACCCATGATCATAGTATTCCAAGAGCACAAGTTTCTCCTCTTGCCCATCTCAACAAACACTTCCATTGCGGCATCCAGTTTGCCACATTTTGCATACATTTCCAATACAGCATTACAGACAAACAAATTCTTGAAGTATCCATTTGCCCTTGCATAAGCCTCAATCCTCTGCCCAAACTCTAATGCCCCCAGATTTGCACAAGCTGGAAGAACACTAGCTATGGTCACTTGATTTGGCTCTACTCCTTTCTCCTTCTCCAACTCTCTATAAATGGCCAGAGCCCTCCCATACTGCCCGTTCTGCGCGTAACCTGATATTATAGCAGTCCAAGAAATGACATTCCTTGAAGGCATTGTCGAAAACAAATGCAAAGCTTCCTCCATATTCCCACTCTTGACATACCCAGAAATCAAGGAGTTCCATGTGGGCACATCCCTTATTTTCATCTCATCGAATTGCTTTCGAGCCAAATGAACCGATCCCATCTTAGCATACATGTCAACCAATGCAGTTAAGGCAAAGACCTCAAATTGGAAGCCATGCTTGATGAAATCAGCATGAAGCATTTGGCCTTGCCTGGGACTGGAAAGCTTAGTGCAGGCAACAAAAAGGAAGGTGAAGGAGTGGGCATTGGGGGCGAAACCTCGGCGGCACATTTGAATGTAGAGAGACAAACACTGATCATGCGGACCATGGGAAGAGTATGCCTGGATGAGCTTGTTGTAGAGGAAGATTGTTGGGTTAGGAATATTGTCGAACAGTTGGTGGGCATATGGGATGTTTGGGATTTCAAGAAGCTTGTCTATCAAGAACTTGGTGAAATCCAAACCGTTTCTAAGGGTGTGGGCATGCAATTTTTTCAGCTGGTTCATAAGGGATCTAATTGTTTATCAACATGAGACAATCTATCTATATATCCATACAGGGTACATGAAATGCAGATAAGAAAAGCAACAGACTCCCTTAGTCTCTTGTCCAAAAAAGCCAGTAAGATCAAACGTTTATCACTTACGCCAAAAACCCAACAATTTCTTAGCTATCATTTATTAATCTCTACCTAACAATTCCCTCCTCCCAGCACTCAAACCCTTACCACTTATCACAAAAGCTATAGTTCATAGAGAAGGTATAACTTTATTTCCTTATACTGTCACACATTTTCAAGACGATGGATGCTAGACAACAATAATGTAGAATCAAATGCAAAATTAATCAATCTTCATAAACAACAAGGTTACATACTCACATTCATAAAAGAGGCTTATGGGTTAGAAACCCAATTTAAGAAAATAAAAAATAAAAAATCTTAAGAACAATTATATTCAAATCTTTTTTTTTTTAATTATAAATAATTATTACAAAATACAAATGTTTAGTATTAAATTGTCAAAATTCGAAGGTTCATATATAATTTTAAAATAGACTATAAATTTAAAATTTTTTACATAGCGGATATGATATTGCCACCAAAATGAAATTAATCCAAATTTGTTTAGATCGTGTTCACAAAGTTTATTTATAAATTCACATTTTCAATTATTAACAAACTACACAATAAATAATACAATATTGAAGGCAAACATAATTGAATTTAAAAATTCACATCAGTAGACCAAAAATGTAAAAGAAAGACATGTAATGGCTAGTTACTAAAAAGTAAATTTCAATTTATACCAAATCTATAGGTAAATGTATGGCCATTCGAATCAAAGTCCCTCATCACTCCAATTCTAAAGAATAAAAGCATTTAAGTTTAATAAGGGCCGATAATGGCGTTAAATATTTTTAAATTTAAAAGTTTCTATATAACACATTATAAAAAATTATAAGCATTTAAAAAAAATATATTAACACTTTATATTCACATTATATCAAGTGGGCACGGATCGAATTTGAGTTCGACCCGATACTAATTTTGCGTATCTGAATATTTCAAGTTTGAAAATTTTAATTCCCAAAACGAAATATTTATAATTTCATTTTGGTTTCGGACTAATCGGTCCGGACCTACCTCATGTTCATATACCTATATCTGAATTTTTTAAAATTTTTAATTAAAATAAATAAATCTAAGAGTTTGAGTAGCTAAATAGAATATAGTTATGCAAAATCAGAATTTCAAAATAAAGTAATTATTAAAACCTATCAACTTTGATAAAATTACAACAATTTACAAATTTAAATACTCTATACTATTAATAAAAACAAAATCCTTTATTTTAACTTCCCGCAACATAACAGTCTTATACTATTAAGTTTTGCGTAATATTATAATTTATAAAATAGTATAATACAATTCATAATAGAATATATTGTTTCCTACTTTCCTATTCCTACTACAATACTATATTAAATATTCATATTCCTAATACAATACAACAATATTAAAATTCATATTCCTATTCAACAATATGTTTCCGTCACTACTCCAATCAATACTCAATACTATTATTAATAATTTAGATTAAAATTATTACTATTAATCTAATGAATATATGGAAGTTTGCCAAAAAAAAAAATGAGTTATTAATAATCTATACTTTATATTATTATTAAATACAAAATCCTCTATTTTAACTTCCGCACAAACACTTAATAATAATAAGGTTAGAGGGAAAAATGGAAACGAATCTGTAATTTGAGAAGTCATAATGTTTTAAAATTATTTCTACGCGTTATTTTACTATTAATCTAATGAATATAAATATAAGGAAGATTTTGCAAAAAAAAAAAATGAAAAGAAATTAGTTATTAATAATTTAGATTAAAATTACATGGCGTTATTTTACTATTAATCTAATCAATCAATCAATCAATATTATTATCAATATTATTATTAAAAATAAAATTCTCCTTCTTAACTTCCCACCAAACACTTAATAATAATAAGGTTAGCCGTAAAAAGAGAAAAATGAAAAATAATCCACAATTCGAGAAGCCATAATGTTCTAAAATTATTTCTACACATTGTTTTACTATTAATCTAATGAATATGAATATAAGGAAGATTTTGTAAAAAAAAAAAAAAAAAAAAAAAAAAAAAGGAAAGAATCATTTTTTTTTAAATTTTAAATTAAAATTACAAGACATTATTTTACTATTAATCTAATGAATATAAAGAAGATTTTTGCAAAAAAAAAAAAAAATCATTTTTAACTTCTCGTCCAAACACTTAATAATAATAAGGTTAACAGTAAAAAATGAAAATGAAAATGAAAAAGAATCTGTAATTTGAGAAGCCATAATGTTCTACAATTATTTCTACATGTTATTTTACTATTAATCTAATGTATATAAATATAAGGAAGATTTTACAAAATAATAATAATAATAATAATAATAATAATAATAATAATAATAATAATAATAATAATAATAGAAAAGATTCACTTTTAATAATTTGATTAAAATACATGCCATCATCCAACAACCAGGGCTGTCCCAGATTAAAGTGGACTCTCCATCCCCAATTCTACACCTCACTCCGGAACATACCAACTCATGGACAACCATAATACTCCTGCATCAGTAACTGAGATTATTACTAATAGTAGCTTCCATAAAAGAGGATCTAGGGAAATACCTCGCTTTATATACTCAGCAAGTGATTGGGGCTTGGTGAGAAAACGCCAAGCCTGTTTGCCCAACATTGTTAAATTAAACGCGCGAACATCTTTGAAACCTAGGCCACCAGGAGACTTAGGCTTACATAAACGATCCCTGGCCATCCAGTGAATACCTCCACCATTAGCGCCACCATTCCCCCACCAACAGCGATTCATGGTCCTTTCTATAGCAACACATAAAGAGTCAGTTAGCAAAAAACCAATCTTTTCCTCAATATAATTAAAAACCTGCCTCTTATTCCTCCCAACAAAAGAAGGTAGTCCCAAATACTTACCCAAGTTGGGTGCCTGATTGATTAACGCCTAATATAGCAACCACCGCTCCTCTGTCCTCCACCCTGGTATTCTTACCAAAGCAAATACTGAATTTATGATGATTGACAGTGACCGGATATGAACTCATAAGTTTGTAAGCACTGTTTTACCACACACGCTTCCTAATCATTTGCTTTAAAGAATAAAAGGTTGTCATATTCAAAGAAAAGATGAAAAATAGAAAGAGCACCCCTAGCCACCCTACAACTATGAATAAATCCCTGGGCCTGCGCCTTCTGCAGTAGCAACCCTCCAAAATAAGTTATTCTATTTAGGAAAAAGTGTCAAATTGGTCCTCTAAGTGGACCGGATAGTGCAATTGTGTCCCTTAATTAAAAAAAGCTCCATTTAGACCCCCTAAACTTGTAAAATTGTTCAATTAAGTTACAAGTGACTTGTTTAACAGGTTAAGTCTTCTCATGGTTGACACGTGTCATTTTAAAATATTTTTTAATTTTTGTTTTTTTACAAATTTATTTATTAATTATTTATTTATTAATATATATATATATATATATATATATATATATATATATATATATATATATATATATATATATATATATTATATATAAACAAAAAATAAAAAATAAAAAATAAATAAAAACACAGCCACCGGCTCGGACTGCCAGTGGCAGTGACGGTCATGGCTGTCTTTCAGATTTGGAAGAAGAGCAGCCATGGCCGCCGCCCTCTGGAACGAGGGCAATCTAGTGCTGGGTGCCAACAGCGACTCCTCGACTTTGACGACTGCGGCGGCGGAATCAGAACGGAGGAGTTTGAATTCATGAAGGACGACGGCGACCTCGCGACGGAATCCGACGGAATTCTGTATTGCAGCTTTCTTGAGCGCCCTCGTAGGAATTCTATGTTGCACATGGCGGCGGGGAGGGAAGGTCCGGCCATGGCCGCTCTTCTTCCTAATATGAAAGACGGCCATGGCCGTCCACTGTTTTTTTTTTTTTTTTTTTTTTTTTTTTTTTTTTTTTTTGTTGTTAATTTATACGGAGTATAATATATATATATATATATATATATATATATATATATATATATATATATATATATATATATATATATATATATATATATATATATATATATATATATATATATATATATATAAATACATTTATATAAAAATATTTTAAAATGACATGTGTCAACCATGTGAAGACTTAACTTGTTAAACAAGTCACTTGGGACTTAATTGAACAATTTTACAAGTTTAGGGGATTTGAATGGAGCTTTTTTTAGTTAAGGGGTCCAATTGCACTATCCGGTCGACTTAGGGGACCAATTTGACACTTTTCCCTTCTATTTATATGCTTTGTTAATTATAAACCAAAATACGTCAACACTATAGATTAACCATAATACAAAACATATATTTAAAACTACTTTTATAAAATAAATATTTGTAAATATTTAAAATAGATATTAAAAAGCATACTTAGCAAAATAAAACATACCCATTTTCCTTTTCAAATAGTTAGAAGCTAATAACTATGGTCAATCAAATAAACTGATTAAAGGCTAATGTGAAATTCTCTAATATATATATATTTTTTAATTTAGATCAAATGACAAATCAAACAAAAAAATTTGTTACAAGTATTATTTTTCCCTATATGGTTTAGCTCATTTCAAAAAAAGATATAGAGCTAAACATCACAACTTCGTGTAATCTGTAATCAAAATTCAAAAGTATATACACTGATCCGAAAAAGAATGAATTCCTTCATTGAGATTTTCAGCGTACTCCAATGAACTGTTCCTGTGCGATTTCTCTGGGCAGTGTGGAAGAGCTACTTTCGCAAAACTTGTGAAGAATCCGAATGAGCAATCTCGCTTTCTTCCTCGCCTGAGCGGTTCCCTCCGACACCAGTGGGTAGAGCCTGGGCATTAGGGACTGGTCCCTGGCCAGAACCGCCGTCACGTCGCCGCCGCAATGGGTGCACAGAGACAGCAAGATGGAGACGCAGTATTCTTTCCCAGGACGAGAACTGACGGTCTGCAATTTGGTGGAGATTACCGGCAGTGCGGAGGCCTGGAGCGCCGCCGTTGATCCTTGCTTGGTGTCTGCTAATGTGGCTAGAACGGCTAGAGCGTCTGTTGTGAGGTCTTCTTTCTGGGGAGAAGATAGGAGGTTAACTAGAATCTCGATCGCGTTAGTTGAGAGTATTTTTTGGTGGTTGGTTCGGTGGTTAAGAACCAGGGCGAAGATTGCGACAATGGCGTTCTTTTTCCCGCACGGTGTTCCGATTTTCATGAGTTCGATTAGGGCTTCGATTAGCCCCGGAGTGTCTCCGATCTGTTTGCGGTGTTCCCTGGTTGAGGAGAGGTAGAAGATTATCGCCGCCGCAATTTGCTTGGCTTCCAGTTTCGCTCCATTTTTAAGGACTTCAACGATAGGGTTTACGCCGCCGTGTTCAACGATCGTTGTCTTGCCGTTTGTGTGTTTGGAGAGCTTCAGAAGAGCAGAAATTGCGTTTTCCTGTGTGGATGGATCGGCGGAGCTGAGGAGGTGCAGGAGGGGCGGGATGGCTCCGGCGTTAATCAGGCAACAACGGTTGTAAATGTTTGATTTCGCCAGCAAACGGATTTCGTAAGCCGCCTTGTTTCTCTGCTCGTCGGAGCCGGAACGGAGGCGGCGAGCTAGGAATTCCGAGAGGAACTTGATGGCTTCAGCCGCGGCTGGACTTCCGGGGACGATCGTTCTCGATATATCACAGCTCGTTTTCCGGGATTTCGATAGGGAGATGCCGTTGTCGGAGCAGAACTGTTGGATGAGCTTCCGGAGAGATGAATTAGGGATTAATTCGGTGCTTGTCAATGTCTTCCCTGTTTTAGGGCACAGGAGGTTGCCGGAACTGAGCCATTTCTGAATCGAAGCGCGATCGTACGTCTGTCCGGTGGACACCGTCACCGGATCAGTCATGAGTTCCAGCGAGATCGGACACCGGAAATCCTCTGGATTTAGACAACTCACCGTCTCCGTACTGTTCATCCCTTCCGATTGATCATCAATGTTTCTGCCATAGCAACTGTCCAGAAACAGAGCTCCCCTGCAATAGCTCATAAACCCTACTAAGCTGCTAAGCAACGGCACTTCTCTTCCATGATTCTCTGAGCATTCCACACTGATCTCTTCCTCCAACAATTTAATCTCCTTATTACATTCTCCCCAATTCGTAACACCAATATAATCTAGAACTTTCCTGATGAGCAAAGGATCCGGCTCCAATCTATTCTCGAACTGATTCAATATCAAAATCACCCATTTCATGGCCTTCTCGTCATCAGAATCCAGCTCCATTCTCCCCCTCTGTGCCTGATTAGCTACCATCAGAACTAGCTCCTTGATTTCGCCGGAAACCCCAATGGACTGCAATGGAAGAACATCGAGAGCAGTTGCTACGGACCTAATCAGAACCCGGAATTGGGTAGCAACCGAAAGCGCCTTCATTAGAATCCACAACTTCGCGCCTTCTCTGGTGCAATCTTCCAATAAGAAGTGAATATTCTGGAACGTTATGTGCAGCTCTGAGAGGCAGAGGACTATGGACTCTGAGATTCCGGGGAAATGATCGCGAATTTCCTCGAAGAAAATCAAGAGGATTCCGATTTGCCTGATGGTTTCCCGGGCATTCCTCCTCTGTGTGGGGAAGAATTTGGATTTGAAGCTGCATATGTTTCGAGACAGGGCGATGAGTGAGCCGAGAAGCGTCGCCGCAGAAATCCCCTCGCACGGATGCACGGCTGGAAACGTCAGAATCCGGCGATCATTCCGGTCAGATTTCATCGGTAATTCTGAGATTTTTCGCACTTTGTTTTCGTTAAGAAGACAAACATGAAACTTTAGGAGGGGTTCGGTTTTAGCCTATTTATAAAGCGATAGGACTTCGAAAAATTAATAAATAAATAGAGGATCTCAAAATGACGCGTGGCATGAATCTAGGGGGAAGGAATTGGCTGCGTGGACTGGAGATACGAGACACGTGCAATGGACACGTGTGATGGAGTTATAGGGTGAAGATGTTTCCTAGATCGTGGGGTTTTGGGTCGGGTGGGATATTTCGGGTTTATCAGTTATCACACTGAGATGACGCGTAACTGGGACCCAGTTTGCCGACTATTGTACAGGTGGACTCCCGCTAAATGACGTGTTGCCTCAGACAACGGGAAGGGGTGTGATCACTGATCAGTGATGCACTGTGGATGATTAGGACTAAGGATTTCATATTTTCATCTATTTTTTTTTTCTTTTCTTTTTTTTTTTCTAGATTTTAATATTACTAATTCTACTCATCATTTGAGAGCTTTTTAGATCACAATTAAGGATCTAACAAAGACTAAAACTTAAAGAGTTCAACTTAAAATAGAAATTGTTATTAAGTGTTGACATCAAAGTTTTTTAGTTTTTTTAGTTTTTTGTTTTTGTTTTTCAAATTTTTTATACCAATAATGATCTAATTAATAAGTTACTTCACTCAGGTTCAATTAATATGGTATTACATTATATTTCATTTGTTTAATTTTATGTGTCTAATTCAGTTAACGATATTTGACTAAAGTTATTACTATTAAATTTTGTAATATTTAATTTAATGTTAGTGTATAAAATTGATATATTTAAATATCATAGTACTATAAACACACACATGCAAAAACTGATTTTTCTTGGATCATATATTATAAATGAATGTAATTGTCACAAAAATTTTAAAATTTTAAATATAATTGTGATATATAATTAGATATTATAGAAGAATTGCCACAAATAAAACACAAAAGATTTAGTATTAAATTGTCAAAATTTAAAAATTTAGATATAATTATCACCGGACAAAGATTTGAACTTTTTTCATTGATAACTCATAAAAGTATTTGGTATGTAGAGTATTTAAGTAGTATTATTAGGTACCAGGACTATGTGGTCTAATGGTATCCGGGTTAGACTTCCATTTGGAAGATTGTGATTTCGAGCCTCAGTGGAGGCGTTATTGGCTCTTTGTGTTTCAGTAGGTTGAGAAAGTATATGAACAGATACTATATTGTAATAGAGCTAGTAGCATTCAAAAAAAAAAAAAAGTAGTATTATTAGTTATAAAAATGCCTTTCTAAATTATGTTCACATACAAAACAATTTCATTCATAATATATTTTATTCTGTTATTAAATTTTTTATTTTATTTTAAACTAGTTCAATGAATTAAGTTTCTAAATGTTTCGTGTACCCATGGATGTTCAAACCTAATTAAGCAGCAACATCTTCTGACATCAGTTTATCTATGTTGATGTCATTAGTCCATTACTTCGTTGTATGACCACAAACATACCTGAAAGAAGCTGCCTAACAGTACAATTTCCCTCCTAATATCTGTCAGTCTCAATTACACGTCTACACAACATGCGTAAGATTAAGCGTTTATCACTATACTAAAAATTATAATTAGTAGCAAAAGTATAATTTTATTTCTTTATACTTGTGTAACAGTTAATACACCACGTTTTGATGATGGGATACTCAACTCGTCACCTGTCCAAGCCGCCGCCACCTAACACTATTCATGACAATTTTTTATTTTTTTTCTTTAATAATAAATTTAACTATTATTATATTATATTATTTTATTTTTTGAGAGTGAGGAAATTGTATGAATGTAAAGAAAATAATAGAGAATTGCAAATATATTGATATGACAGTACGTCTGCCTTTGAGGGTGAGAGAGAATTGTAGGGATAACAATAATCTCATTCTTTCATCAATATCTTCATTTGCGTAGTCAGTCATCTAAACGCGCAAAGTTAGATCGATTCTCTGATCTAGAAAAATCTAGTGTGTGTTTGGTATGTAGTAATTGTTAAGCATATGAGTGGTTGATATTTTATATTTGTTTTATTGTTCTAAATAGGCTCCTGTAGACTAGGCCAGTAGCTCTAACTTCTCTCTATTTCTCCTCTCCTGTACTCTATTTAAACTCTGCTCTTTCATGTTGATCAATACACTTCCATTCACAATCTTACATGGTATCAAGAGCCATAATCTCGTAAGAGCCTTTTTTTTTCCTTCCCTATTGCTATCTCCTTATCAAATGGTCAGTCCACCTGCGACCACCACTGAGATTATCCAACTCACAGCCCCATCACATTTCCCTATCAAACTCACCCCTTCGAACTTTTCTGTTTGGAGGCGCCAGGTCCAATCCACGTTGATTGGCTTCAATCTTCTCGGCTTCATTGACGGCTCTGTCCAAGAACCAGCCGCGTTTAATGATTCTGCTCGCACAGTCGCGAACCTAGCTCATCTTGTCTGGTACCGCCAAGACCAGATAATCATCAGTGCTCTTTTGGGGAGCTGTTGTGACACAATCCAACCCCTCATATCCACAGCTAAAACTGCCAATGATGCCTGGAAACGACTTCTCGCCAGTTATGCTAGTGCCACTCGAGGACGAATCATTTCCCTCAAGGCCAAGCTCACGAAAAACCCGAGAGGCGCTCGGTCTGTTACCGCCTATCTCAATGATATGCGTTCCATAGCTGATGAGCTTGCTTTGGCTCAGTGTCCGGTCTCCGATGAAGACCTTGTTGTCTACGTTTTGACTCAATTAGGAGAGGAGTACAACTCTATCATGTCAGCTGTTCGCATTCGTGAAACTCCAATTTCCTTGGGAGAATTAGCAGACATTCGCACTGATCATGAACGCCAACTAAAAGAGGCCGATGATGCTCGTCAGTCCTTAATGGCCAGTGCTAATATTACTCAACGCGGTTCTTTTGGTTCTCGTAATCAATAGCCTGCGTCGAACCGAAGGTTCCGTAATAATCATAACAACGGTACCGCTAATAACAGACCAACTTCACCGCAAGGAGGACCCAATCGAATGGGTGTTGTTTGCAAATTTTGCAATTTTGCTGGTCATGAGACGCGAGTTTGCCGGAAGTTAGCCCGGTTTTTTAAAGAACATAATGTTTTTCCCATGCAGGCCGCTTCATCATATCCGTCTCCTACGGCCAATTCCACCATCGGCTCGACCTCACCATGGCTGTTTGACACGGGCGCTTCTCACCACGCCACTCCAAATGTGACCCCTATGCAGACCTTTTCAGAGTACACGGGTCCTGATGAAGTTCGCTTTGGCAACGGTAATTCTCTACATATTTCCCATATAGGTCAGTCTACCATTCCCACTTCCGCTTCCGCCCTTACTCTACGCAATGTCTTGTGTGTTCCACAGTTATAAAATAGTCTAGTGTCCGTCTCTCAGCTATGCAAAACTAATAAAGTGTCTATTGAATTTTTTGGTTCCCACTTTCTTGTGAAGGAACTTCAAACGGGGACAACACTGTTACGGGGGACGAACATTAACGGTGTCTACTATGGACCTTTGTCTTATGAGCCTACAATAAACACTGTGCGTCTGTCTCACGCGTTTCAGTGGCACCATCGGCTCGGTCATCCTTCAAACAAGGTGTTACAACTTGTGTTGCAACGCTGCAATATTCCGGTTACCACTTCATCATTGCGTCAACTTCATTGTTCGTCTTGCAGTGTCCACAAAAGTCACAAATTACCTTTCTCTCAAAGTACTCTTGTTAGTACTAAACTATTACACTTGATTTACACTGATGTATGGGGAACTTCTGATAAGTCCATTGATGAATATCGCTATTATGTTATTTTTATTGATCACTTCTCAAAATACATTTGGTTGTATCCCTTAAAATACAAGTCGGATGTGTTTTCGGTTTTCTCTCAGTTCAAACGGCTGGTTGAGAAGTTTTTTGAACTTCCAATAGTGTCCGTTTACTCAGACAACGGGGGTGAGTTTATTAAATTGATTCCTCTGTTTAATGCTCATGGTATATCTCATTTCACTACTCCACCTCACACACCTGAGCATAATGGAATAGCTGAACGGCGACATCGACATATTGTCGAAACAGGCATGTCGCTTCTACACTCTGCCTTCTTACCATCTACGTTTTGGTCCTATGCCTTCCTCACTGCCGTTTACCTCATTAATCGGCTTCCGACTCCAATATTAGGTAATCAGTCTCCGTTTCAGGTTTTATTTAAACAACCACCCAATTATACAAAATTGCAACTGTTTGGCTGTCTATGCTATCCTTGGCTACGACCCTATAACTCTACAAAGTTAGAGCCAAAGTCTCGTCCTTGTATTTTTCTAGGGTACTCTAACACTCAATCTGCTTATAAATGTTTTGATTTTGTTTCAAATCGAGTGTTTTTATCCAGGCATGTGCGTTTTGTTTCAAATGAGTTTCCTGCAAAAGAACGACATCTGGATACGGGAACCATGTCTGGGCACCAAACTACTGCCTCTCAACAGGTTCTGTTTCGGTTGCCTTCTTCCGCAGGTGCCACGTCTCTTAATCTGCCATCTTTGTCCATACCCTCGCCCGTTCCTTCTTCCGCCTCAGAATCTACCAGAGTGCAATTGCCGTCACCTGATTCGTCCACTACACCCACAGGTGGAAGCAATGCTGCAAGCTCTGTTCCCAGTTCGTCATTTTCTGCCCACAGTTCGTCACCTACTGTTCCAGAAACCGCCCCACCAACCAGTGAACCTGCTTCTATGCCTTCCCAGCCCGACACCACCTCTGGCGACTCTCAGTCACAAGGTGGTGTGCGTCGGTCTACTAGGAACCGCCGTCTAAATCCACGGTACACCGACTATGTTGTCAATCACACCACTGCCCACCCTATACCTCCAGCTTTAGAACCCTCTACCGTTGCTCAGGCTCTGAAAGATGCTAGGTGGAGGCAAGCCATGGATGAAGAGGTTGATGCTTTGCACCGTAACCAGACATGGCGCCTGGTTCCTCGCGACGCAGGGGTTCCAATTGGTTGTAAGTGGGTTTACCGTGTTAAGCGTAAACCCGATGGCTCGGCTGATCGGTACAAAGCCCGCCTTGTTGCCAAGGGCTTCTTGCAAACTGCTGGCAGAGACTACTTTGAGACCTATAGCCCAGTCATGAAGCCGGTTACCATTCGCCTTGTTTTAACTGTTGCGCTGAGTAATCACTGGAGTTTGCGCCAGTTGGATATCAACAACGCGTTTCTACATGGTACACTGCATGAGGAAGTTTACATGGAACAGCCACCGGGATACGTTGACCCTCAGTACCAGACTCATATTTGCAGGTTGACGAAAGCATTGTATGGGCTTAAGCAGGCACCAAGAGCTTGGTACCAGGAACTCTCATAATTTTTGCAACGTTGTGGGTTCATGAAGTCACAGGCTGATGCTTCTTTATTTGTATACTCAGCTCATAATGTAATTGCTTATTTTTTAGTGTACGTCGATGATATTTTGTTGACAGGGAGTGATACAACCTGGCTCGACCGATTTGTGAGGACCCTGTCAGCACGGTTTGCTCTCAAAGACCTTGGCCCCTTACATCATTTCCTGGGTGTGGAGGTCATTCCTACTGTTGGAGGTATTTTTCTATCACAGAGTCAGTACATTACTGAAATATTGACGCAGTTCAAGATGGATGGTGCAAAGGATGTTACAACACCACTTGCAACATCAGACAAACTCCTGCCGACGCTGTCCTCTAGTGCCGCGACTGATGCTACACAGTTCCGTCGACTGTTGGGTCTAATGCAGTATTTGGTGCTTACTCGCCCAGATGTGGCTTACGCGGTCAATCGGCTCTCGCAATTTATGCATGCGCCTTCTGAGCTGCACTGGCAGGCCGCAAAACGATTACTGCGTTACCTCAAGGGAACGGTGTGCCATGGTCTATTTCTTCGAGGGGGTCAACCGCTCTCGTTACGTGTCTTTACAGACTCAGACTGGGGAGGTAGTGCCACCGCCGGCCGTTCAACTACTGCGTACCTGGTGTACGTGGGTGATAATCTTATTTCTTGGAAGTCCTCGCGACAGAAGTCTGTCTCCCGGTCATCTACAGAGGCTGAGTACCGTGCTTTGGCGAATGCAGCAGCGGAGGTTCAATGGGTTAAGAGTCTGTTGCAGGAGTTAAAATTGGGTCTGGTAAAGCCTCCGGTCCTGTTTTGCGACAACCTCAGCGCCACGTATGTTTGTAAGAATCCGGTGTTTCATTCTCACATGAAACATCTGGCCCTGGACTACTTCTTCGTTCGGGATTTGGTTTCTAGTGGCATGCTGATTGTACGACACATTCCGTCCTCTGCTCAACTTGCTGATCTTCTCACCAAACCGCTTGGCCGTCAACAGTTTCTTCACCTCCGATCCAAGATTGGTGTCTCCGATGGATCCTCAATCTTGCGGGGGGCGTGTTAAGCATATGAGTGGTTGATATTTTATATTTGTTTTATTGTTCTAAATAGGCTCCTGTAGACTAGGTCAGTAGCTCTAACTTCTCTCTATTTCTCCTCTCCTGTACTCTATTTAAACTCTGCTCTTTCATGTTGATCAATACACTTCCATTCACAATCTTACAGTAATACATATTTTTCTTTTAAAAAAAATCTTTTATGTGAAAATGCTTTAGATTGTGAGAGGAGGTAAATTGCGGAATGTGACTTAGTGAAACAAGGTCTAAGTGCATGCTTTTTGCCCTAAGGTTGAAATCTTTCTCCATTGAGGAGGCTCGAATTGAACCTAAATATTTTGCTATGTTGTTACACGCACACTCAACTTGCTTTTGACCATTGAGTATGTTGATTCATAAAAAAGGTATTACATTTTGGCTAAAAAAAAAGGGAAGCATATATTACATATTTAAAATATGTCACACATGAAAAGGTCTCACACAAATATTTGTGCTACAAGAATGCAATTTTTAAAGTCATTATCTATTTGTTGCCAAGTTTACCAAACAATCTATCCTGCAATTAAAATAATTTACATTTTTTGAATGTATTATATGTTTAAATTGAGAAATGTATTAAAATATTAGTATAGTTGTTTTGGTGATAAAGTTAGTTAGGATATATTTTCAACTATATATGATAGCTAATTCTTACAGGTAGAGCCCAGAGGCATGCCATGAGAGCTTGACATTTGGCCTGGTTAGCATGCATGGCAGCAAGCGATAGTTACGTTGGAGAATCATGAAAAACATGGTAAATCACGACCTAATCTCAAGGGTTTATTTCCCATTCCCTACCAAATGCATGCTCATCTGGAATTTCCACGGCAAAATATTTCAACAAGCTAAGTAATATTATTTAAAGAGTTTATATGATGGTCTGGTGTATCATGTATGATATTGATATATATAATATAATATTATTATAATCCAAAAAGAAAATGTTTCCAACATATTTATATATTTTATTTTTAGAAAAGTAAAAGATGAAAAAAAAAAACAAAAAAAAACCTACTACAAATACGAATTTTTCTTTATACTTCCCTTGAAAGTTGATATCATCATCAAAATGAATCTTAAAATTTTGTTGTGATATTTTTACCATTTAAAAGTAGAAATAATATAATGCATACAAAATTCATCAATAATGTAAAATTACAGGTGTATTTTATGTTCAATAGAAGCCCATCCCTGGTTGGGTTGTGTTGCTGTTTAGAGATAGACCTTAATGCTAGCTTGTGTTAGGCAAATTATAACATGCATGCATCAGAGTTCATCTTACATTATGAAATGTGGATCAGGTTCCAAAATGATATTCACATTATCTACTTGTAGTTAACATATTATATACCTATGTACCTGTAGTTAACATATCATGTGCATTCAATTAACAGATTGTGTACCTGTAAATAAATGAGGTACATAATATATTAATTATAATATGTACATAATATTTTAACTACAGATACAT